ATATCAGAGTATAGTTGGCAATAAAAGATAGAACATGAACTAAGGACTTCAAATAAAGAATGTAAGGGTAAATTTAACAATGGAGGATATAACATGATAGGACAGATTCAATTAAATGTACATGAGAAGCCTAAGGGTCTAAACCGGTCAAGTTTACACATATAAAGTCATGTACACACTCGTCGCCTCATATACACGTCTTTCACGTTATTCATATAGTACAATCAAACAAATCCCTACGGGGTAATTTTCTCCATACAAAGTCAGGCAAGATACTTACTTCAACTAGGCCAAATCAACACTCAAAGATAGCTTTTTCTTTACAATTCACCCTCGCTCGGCTCAAATCTAACCAAAAACGACTTAATAACATCAAATAATGCAAGAGAAACTAATTCCAATAAATAAAGCTATGATCTTGTCACGACCCGGATTTCCCGCCGTCGGGATCGTGATGGCGCCTAACTTTTCAAAATGCCAGGCAAGCCAACAGATAGAGATTTAATACGCTAACCGCTATCCAAAACAGTAAATAACAGTAATTAAACCAAAACAAAGTAAAGAAGTGCAGAAATTTATAATAATCCAAAAACTAATACACGACAACCCAAAATCTGGTGTCACAATCCACGAACTTCTAAGAGTTATGACAAATACTGGTTCAAAGAAAATACATCTGTTCTCGAATTAAAAGAAAACAGGAAGACTAGGATAAATGGAATAGGACTCCAGGGTCTGCGAATACCGGCAGATCTACCTTGGGTCTCCTATTGGACTGAAGGGAGAAACCCAACTCTGATCAACGCGGTCCAGTACCAGAATCTGCACAGAAAGTGCAGAGTGCAGTATCAGTACAACCGACCCCATGTACTGGTAAGTGTTGAGCCTAACCTCGGCGAAGTAGTGACGAGGCTAGGACACGACAATAACATGAACCTGTGCAGTTAAATCATATACGAGAAAATAACAACAAATGGAAATTAAGCAGATAATAACGGGAAGGGGGAAGACATGCTGAGGGGAATATCAAATCCTAAAATAGTACAGTAAAGAGTTACAATAAAATAACATGCTTTACTCCAACGAAAGTAATAACATAGCAAACAAGTGCACGGCATCACCCTTCGTGCTTTTACTCTCGTCCTTACCATAAGAATCAATAGAAACGGCACGACATCACCCTTCATGCATTAACTCTCTCATAACATGGCACGACATCACCCTTCGTGCATTATCACTCACAAAATACTGCATGACATCACCCTTCGTGAATTACCACTCACTCACAACGCATTGCACGGCATTGCCCTTTGTGCTTTAACACTCTCCCTCACCAAAACAATAAACAATAACAACAGGGAGATAGAAATATCAAGAATCAGTCTTACTTCAACATTTAACTCCACAATACCAGTCTCAACTCTGAATTAATACGCAATCAGTACCAAACTTCGTAAAACATGATAACAATTGTTCAACACATGGAATAACAAGTCTAAACATGAAATATATGATCAAAGAGTACAACAGTTACAAGAATAAGACTAACCCGCATGCTATGACTCGACAACAACGCATAGGTACTCGTCACCTTACCTATACGTTGTACTCAATATCAAACACGTAGCAATTAAACTCAACAATACCTAATCCCTCAAGCTAAGGTTAGCCACAACACTTACCTCGATTCCACGGCCAAACTCAAGCCTCAATCACCGTTTTTCCTCTAGTTCCACCTCCGAACCACTCGTATCTAGTCATAGTTAACTTAATAACATCAGTTATTGCTAAAGAAATTAATTCCAATACACAATTATAGGTTTCCTAATATTTTCCCCAAAAAGTCAAAAATCGACCCCAGACCCGCTAGGTCAAAATTCGTTGTTCGGACCAAAACCCATTCACCCATTCATGCCCGAGCCCAAATATGTAATTAGTTTTGGAATCTGACCCCAAATCGAGGTCTAAATCCCCAAATTTGCAAAATCCCCAATTCTTACTAAAATCCATAATTCTACCATGAAAGAACAAGATTTAGGGCTAGAAATCTAATGGGTGTTGATGGAAATTGAAAGAGATGAGTTAAAGAACACGAACCTATGATTTGGTGTTGAAATCCTTCTTCAAAAATCGCCCTAGGTTGAGTTCTAATGGAAGAGATATGAATTTTTTGAAGAATCCCGTCTTAGGTTCTGTTTTAAAATCACTGGACAGGCCTTATTCGCGTTCGCGAGAGGTCTGTCGCGTTTGCGAAGCTTTGGCCCTATTGGCCTTCGCGTTCGCGAAGGCATATCCCCCCAGCCTCCGCGTTCGCGATCCAAGTGTCGCGTTCGCAATGAGTTAACTTCTCCTCCCCTTCCCATGCTTCGCGTTCGCGGTAGACAGGTCGCGTTCGCGAAGGGTAAAGCCCCCGCTGCTACGAGTTCGCGACCTGTCCTTCACGTTCGCGAAGAAGAAATTTCCCCCTTCCCTCTTTACCTTTCGCGTTCGCGAGACTACCTATGCGAACGCGAAGAAGGGCATATCAGAACCACTGCTGCAACAAAAATACCACATTTCCTAAGTCTACATCCCGTAGCCCATCCGAAACTCACCTGAGCCCTCGGGTCTCCAAACCAAACATGAATACAAGTCTTAAAACATCATACGAACTTGCTTGCATGATCAAATCGCTAAAATAACACCTAGAAATATGCATTTAGCATCAAACTGCACGAAATTTTCAAGAAAGTTTCAAAACTTCTGTTTTCTCAACCAAAGGTCCGAATCACGTCAAATTAGTCCCGTTCCTCACCAAATTTCTCAGATAAGGTATAAATATCATAACGGACTTGTACCTGATTTTGGAACTAAAATACGGACCCGAAACCGACGAGATCAACTATTAACCATTTTCTCAAAACCATTATAATTTCAATTTAACAATTTTCATCAAAAATTCATTTCTCGGGCTAGGGACCTCGGAATTCGATTCCGGGCATACGCCCAGGTCCCATATTTTACTACGGACCCTCCGGGACCGTCAAAATACAGGTCCGAGTACGTTTACTCAAAATATTGACCGAAGTCACCTAAAATCAACTTTTAAAGGCAAAATTATTTTTCTCAAATTTCCACATAAAGGCTTTCCGAAAATGCGTCCGGACTTGCACGCAAATTGAGGAGAAATAAAATAAGATTTTGAATGCCTCGGAACCCTGAATTGGGTTCTAAAATACAAGATGACCTTTCGGGTCATCACAGATCTTTATATAATTCCTCAAAAGTCAACCTCGGGTCCGTCCGGTCAAAACCCGGGTCCAAGGGTAGATCTTGACAACCCATAACCCCACGAGTCTATATATGTGTGTTTTTTTTCAAAATCTGAGTCCATTTCAACTCTCAAATCCCAAATTTTTATTTTTCAAAACATAGATAAAATTTTCCAAAATTACACTTTGATTATCACAAATCTGATTTAAATCTCACATATAATCATGAAATATAGTTGAAAATTGATTAAAACTACTTACCCAATGATTGTAGGTGAAATCCCTTCTCCAAATCGCCTCCTACCGAGTCTAGGATTCAGAGATATGAAAATGAGACTAAAATCCCGACTTCCAGCCCTTATGTTCAGGCGCAGATTTCGCAAATGCAACACAATGCGACATGCAGACAAATAATCGCAAATGCGGCTCCTGAAAAAACCTAGTGAATGTCACAAATGCGACCCTGACTTCGCAAAAGTGACAAGGACATCGCAAATGCGACAAGCTAGCCTAGGCCCCCTTTCGCAAAAGCGAACTAAGTGTTGACAAATGCGAACCTAACAGTTCCCAGCACATCTTGCAAATGCGATTTCCCACCTTGCAAATGCGATTTCCCACCTTGCAAATGCGAATTGTATCTCGCAAATACGAGATCTTAAGCACCAGCAAATCTGAACCTTCAACAAAACTCTCCGGAACACGTCCGAAACTCACCCGAGCCCTCGAGGCTCCACACCAAACATCAACACAAGTCTAAAAATATCACATGAACTCGCTCACGCGATCAAAATATCGAAATAACATCCGGAACTACGATCAGACATCAAAACACATGAAATTAATAATGAAACTCAAAATTTCTAAAAACACAACCACGCGTCCGATCTATCAAATCAACTCGAAATGACGCCAAACTTTGCGAACAAATTCCAAATAGCATAACGGACCTATTCCAAGTCCCAAAATTATATTCGAACCCGATAGCCATAAAGTCAAACCATGGTCAAACTTAGGAATTTTCTAAACCTCAAATTACCAACTTCCGGCAAAACATGTCAAATCCACCTAGGGACCTCCCAATTCAATTTCGGGCATACAACCAAGTCCAAAATCACTATACGAACCTATCGGAGCCATCAAAATATCGTTCTGGGGTCGTTTTCACAAAAGTCAAATCTCGGTCAATATTTCCAACTTAAGCTTCTAAAATGAGAACCACTCATCCAAATCAATCCCGAAACTTCCCAAATCGAATTCGACCATACACACAAGTCATAATACACATTATGAAGCCAATCAAGACCTCGAACCACTGAACGGAACGCTAAAGATCAAAACGACCGGTCGGGTCGTTATACAAACTTGTATTTTTTTGTTTAACAAAATATATTTAAAATATAAGAACAATTTTAAAAGAATAAATTAGACTAATAATAAATAGTACTCATATTATATTTCTATATTACTAAACTTTACATAATTACCGCATAACTAATCTTCGTATAAATAATTCATGCATAATTAATTTCCGCATAACCAATTATTGCATAACTAATAATTATATAACTAAATCCTACATAACTAATTCATGCATAATTAATCCCTATATAACTAATACCTGTATAATTTTAACCGACAACCAAACGACCCCTTAGGTGCACAATCACATCCCAAAATCAACCACGCTCGTGACCACATGCAATAGTAATGTCTTAGTCATTCCCTTCCAAAACTCACTGTTTACTCTGTATGAAGTACCTAAATTTATGTAAATGTGATGTGTCTGCTTTTTTCTTGTGACCAAACCATTAAGACATAAAAATCATTTTCCTTCATTTTCCATGTAAACATTTTCAGTTCTCTTCTCCGTCTTCAAACTAATTAATAAACCCATGGCAGCAAAGCCAATTAGTTCCCCACCAAAACTTCCTCTTTTTGCCATGAAATCACCTCAACATTCAGGAATACTAACACCACCACTTCACACTTTAGCTTCTGTTCCTTTTAAATGGGAAGAAGAGCCAGGCAAACCTAAACCTTGCACTGACATTATAACTTTACCAAATTCCATTTTCAATGAGCCCAAATGCTTAGAACCTCCTCCTAGATTTTACTTAGAAAATACCAAAACACCCTCCCCTACTACTGTACTTGAAGGACCGTATAATATACTAAAGCCCAAAGGCAGAGGGCAACTTGGTACTTTGGTTCTTTACAAGAATAATAAAGTGCGTAGAAGAAGAGGAAATTGGTGGCAGCGGTATTTAAAACGTAAGGAAACAAGTGTGGATTCAACAGATTGTGGGAGTGGCAGTGATGAAGGTGGACATAATTCAAGTACTGTGAAAATGGCTAGACTTAGAAGAAATGGAAGCTTTTCTGGCCTCACTCAGTCCAGGCCTCACATCTGGGTAAGTATTTACAACTCCATCCTTTTTTATTACTGACAAGTGACAAGAATTAAGGCCCCGTTTGACCATGAGTTTTGCCAAAATAAATTTGTGATTTATTTTCAAAATTCATGTTTGGCCATAAATTTTTTTGTCCATATTTTGGTCAAATCCCAAATCCCAAATTTCAAATCCCAAAATCAGCCTTTGGGACAAAATCCCAAAACTTGGGAATTACGTATATGTTTTTCCAAAATAAAGTTGGAAAATATATTTTGAAAACGTATGTCCAAACACATTTTCATATTCAAACCAAACTTCACCCAAATCAAAATTTTCAAAACAAATTTGGGATCTATGGCCAAATGCTAGCTAAGTATTGAAGAGTACGTTTTAAGAGCTAGAAGCTAGTAATTTTTTCTATGAATACTCGTGCTATATTTCAATTTAGATGAAGTTGTTTGATTCGGTGTGGAGTGTAAGAAAAAAAAATATGTTTGAAACTAGGGTCGATGGGAGTGAAGGTGTAGTTTTGGTAAATATTTTTCAAATGAATTCATAAGAGAGTAATTTTTCAAAAATATTGAAGTCAAACAAACGCAGAAAAATTAAAAAATATTCTTTCATACCAAACACATCCTTTATGCTTCTCTCTTCCCTTTTTTAAGTGATGCACCTATATTCTAAAAATACTAAATTCGCTGCTTACCGATGACTAATTTAAGAGAGGAGAAATTCAGAAAATATTTCTTTTTATATGTAGATTTCAGTTCTATTAGTGGATTGCTCTCTCACTTTATTCACTAAGAAATTAATGAGTTTAACAAATAGGCTCATAATTAAAGTGAAGTATGAAACTAGTTGTATGTTATGACTAGATTAAAAGTATGATGTGTACTTAAAGGTGGTAAGACAAAAAGGCTTAATAATTCCTCCGGTCCACAATAAGTGACCAATTTATTTTTTTATTTTGATCCAAAATAAGTGTCCATTTATATAATGAAGAAAATATTCAATTTGTTTTTCCAAAATTACCCTTATGTACGTATCCCTAAAAAGTCGTTTACTTCTCCATATTTGAGCAGAGAAGTAAGTGCTACTATAACTATACTGCAACATTTAATTAAAGGTACATTAGTCACACTAACTATTTTTGTTTAGAATTTAATATTTCTTTAATGGGTCTGTCCAAAGCAAATTGATGTACGAGAGTGAGTAAGTTTGTTGAAGTTGAAAATGAAAGTGGGGTTATTGCACGGGTAACTACTTTCACTTTTGGCAATTAAGTATGAACATTTCTCCCTCCTATTTATGTTATTTTTGGTGTTTCTGCACAGAATATAATAATCTTAATGTTGTTAGTCTCGGATTTTTGCATTTCTTACTCCAAATTAACATTTTTACTACAATAAATCATTTGTGTGCTATCATTGGCTTTGATCGTTATGCCCCCTCTATTTTTTCATTATTTAGAGAACTTCAATCCTCTATATACCTTGTCAAAGTTCAGTTAATTGCTGAATCTGTAATTGTTCTTCTTCTTTTTTTCCGTTTTGGTTCTTTATAAAATTCGTTAATGTCCAAAATTTGTAGGCTTCCATATACGAGGGTTTCAAGCAGGTCATACCGTGGAAGAACAAAAAATCAAAGAAAGAAATGCCAATTGTATAACATGAGCTGCTCTATTAATCAATTCAAGAGTGGCTGACTGCTTTATCTAGTGGTATTTTAAAATTCCTCGTTATATATAGTGTATAAAAGTAATGGAATTACGTTTTCCCTCTGAGATGTAATATACAATCTTTAACTTTAATTGCTACTTTAACCGGAGGCGGATCCAGGATTTGAAGGTCGCGGGTTCATCTTTGGACTCAATCAAAATTTGTTTTGTATCGCCTCTGCCTTTAACGTACTGTAAATATGGGGTGCGCCGTATGACTTTCTACTCCATCTTTCTGTTTTACTTGTCCATTTTACTAAAAATATATGTTTATTTTTACTTGTTCATTTTAGTAAATCAAGACAAGGACAATCTTTTTTCTTTTTTGTTTACCCTTATTATTATCTACTTATTTCTCAAATTATGTTTCAAGACATTATTATGGGTAAAATTATAAAATATATATACTTCATTTACCTTTTGTTAAAAGGAGTGCAAAAGGGAGTATTAGCCATTGCGATCTCTCGTTTATTTTGTAGTTACATAGAGGTCATTATTGCTCTTGTACCATACATGAGAAGTATGTAAAGCTGAAATTTCGGCTTCGGCGTTTCATAAAATTTTTAATTTTCACTTAAAGATGCATTCTGGAAATTTTCAAAAATTTGAAAAACTCCAAAAACTTATTTTTCAAAAATTTCACTCAAATCACTCACAAAACTTTAAAAACAACCCGAAATTATATTCATGTCCAAACACAACTCTAAATTTCAAATTCAGTTTCACTTGAAAAAAAAATTTCACCCTTTTTTGAAATTTTATATTCTTATGTCCAAACGCCAACTAAAGTGTTCCTTTTCAGCTTCCTCACAACCTCCACTCTTGAAGAAAAGAACAGAAGAGAAAAAAGTAGATGACAAAAAGCTAGATGTTTTTGTCTCATCTACCAAAAATTTAGTAGGGAAAATTATTTGGTACGTTTAACCGGTAAGACATATATAGCAGATTAAAAAAGAAAAAGAATAGATGACATGCATTACAACAGTCATCTTAGTAATAAGGAGGGATACGCCCATGAACCAAATTTATTGAGAGAGCTACAATTAAAGCATATATATATATATATAAAACATGAACCGACCATCGAACCCTGTTTAATAAGTAGAACACATTAGCTATCCGTTCTCAGGTTGCGAGTTTGCCTCGATTTGGTACTGCTCTTGCGGCCCACACCGAAACAGTGCTTTACCCCTAGATATCCAGTCAACTGCTACGCCTCAACGCATTTCGGGGAGAACCAGCTAGCTTTGGGTCTTTTCTTTCTGTTACTTCAAAAGTAGTTGCTTCAACTTCTACCACTCGAATTTTTTATATTCCTTTTTATCTCTCATCAAACTTCTTCTGGAAATCCTATCTATTCTTAGCATGATATTAGGAAATCTCATTACCATTACTCAAATAAAATGTGGCACACAAATATAAATCAAGAGATTCAATATATATAATATATATACATAACTTTTTTTTTTTTTGCTAAGCTATATGGTGTAATTTTTTTAGTTAATGGGTATCAATTGATAGCACTTAAACAAAGCTAGCTTCGCCACCGCATATGACTAATTTTTATATTTATGTATTAAATAATATAATTAATTGGTTGATAATATTTAAGAAGGTTTCATGATTGAGTTGGTTAAGGACTCTAAATATTACTAAAATTTTTTGCACTGTCATTTCGAGATAACATATTTGTTGCGCTAATGGGCTTGCCGATGTTCATTGGAAGAATGGAAAAGGCCACCAGGAAAGGCTTACTCATTCTCTAGCGGAGTTGCCCAGCTACTGAAATCATATGTTTTTTTTTCTTGAAATATTATTAATACTTAACTAGTGACATTACATGGGAGTGATGTCTCATTAGGAGCATCTGAACTACCTAAGCCAGTAGGGCTATTTGACGCAGGATTACAAAAACTATTAAGGTTTCCAAGTTCAACCAAGTTATTCGGTACATTAGTAGATACTAGTCTAGTACTAAGTGCTTCGATTTTGTTTTCCTGGAGTAGATTCCAAAAAATATTTGGCGGGTAGATTATTGTTGATTGGGGAGTGGTGTTTGACTGCTTCGATCCTTCCGTAGTTAAAATATGTGTAACTTTATTTCCTTCTCGAAAGTTATGCCGGATCATTGAATTTCCCAGTTCCTTCGGTAGTAATCTGCACTCACTACTAGAAATTCGATCAAAATCGACCGACTTCGGTCGGTTTTTTAAAATATTTTATTTTCTAATTTTTTTTTACGAAACCAACCGACTACGGTCGATTTTTTTTTTTGGCACAAAAATGCAGAAATTTATTTTAGCATCCCGCGAAATTTATTTTTTAAGAAACAGACCAAAATCGGTCGGTTATTTCAGTCAGTCATTTTAAAAAGCCGAATCGGTCGGTAATTTAATATTTCAATAAAAATCGACCAAAACCGATCAGTTATTTTCGCGCAAAAATGCAATTAAAGAGTACAAATAAATTAAAAGAAAGTCTTAAACCAAAATGTACTAATGGTCTACTGGTAAAATGGTATCCTGCCACAGTACAGACATTGGTTCGATTCACAGACGATGCATTTTCTTAATGCATAATTAAAAATAAATACCGACTGACTTCTGTCGGTTTTTTCGGCATATTTTTTCTTTTTGGGTCGTTTGTGAAAATTAATTGACCAACCGAAATTGGTCAAAATTTTCCGACCGACTTTGGTCGGAATTTATTACCGACCAACCTAATTTCGATGGATTAAAGTCGGTTGGAAATCGGTCGACTTTTTCAATTTTCCGACCGATTTCAGTCGGTATTTCTGGACGGTTTTAGGCAGTTTTCTAGTAGTGACTCATTAACAAGGTTAGCATAGAGGGAACAATTATTATAATAAAGCAATGCAGTATTTCAGTAGCATCAGTTTCAATTTCTAAGCTATGGAAATTATTCTTTCGTGCAATATGGAGGCCATTTTTTAATCAAGAAGTTCCATATATGTTGAGGTGTAGCCATAAGCGGGCATATGAAAGCCTAGAACCCAGTCCCCAGAGTTATTCCGGAAAATGCCACCAATCCCACCTTTTTTATAACTACTTGAACACCCCATCAATGTAGAGTTTTAACTCAGTTGCAGTAAGGGGTGTCACTTTATAGTTATTTGGGTGATGTTATTGTTTTGGTTTGGCGAGTTAGTGGAGTATTTATATTCCATACAGCGCATAGTGACAAAATTAAGGGTGAGTAGGATACAAAGATTATTGTGGTGGTAGTTACTCCTGTAGAGCCATAGGCTCCAAATGGAGAAAGAAAAGAATTCATTCCAGGTGAGATTTAAGTGGTCAATATTAATAGGCAAATCTTTGCGGTTAATGAGCCAATAGTCAGAGTTGAGGACTAGAGTTTGGTTCTGCGGGATTATTTCTTTCATAAAGGATTGGGCTATTGGACATTCGAAGAGTATGTGGATTATGGATTCATCAGTTCCCTTACACATTGGACAAACCGTATCAATATCTAAGCCTATGATAAAGATATGATTTAGTGGGCAGGCAGTTATGGGAGCATTACCATAGGAAAAACTTAACACTATTAAGAGTATTTAATTTTCATATCCACTGGAACCTATAATTAATAAGGGTTGGTCGGGAGATGAGTTTGTAGACTGTTTTGGTAGAGAAGGAGCCGTTAGGAGTAAGGGCCCAAATTGATATATTTTTGGAACCTTCAAAGGTTGAAATACTAATAGAGCAGATTTTTGGATGATTTGGAGGGATAAATTATAGGAAATTTTGGAGAGGTCCCCACGATTATTATCCCAAAGATCTTTCACTTTGAGGGAAGAGTCTAATTAGTTTAGAGGTCCGTGGATAAGAGAGCTAAGTGGAGGGAGATTAGGGATCCAGGCGGAGAACCAACAACTAAGGTTACCCGGACCAATTATCCATGATAGGCCATTGGAGCAGTACTTCCATCCCGATAATATGTTAGCCCAGATGAAAGAGTGGGAGGTGGCATTCCTTTTTTGACTATACTTACTAATGAGCGTGGATAGAATTTAGGTTTGTAAAGAGGCGCCATTATAGACTGGAGACTAAGTCTGTAACGGCCCGATCGGTCGCTTTGAGAATTAGCGTCCCGTTCGGTGGCTTAAGGTCTTGAGCAGCTTCGTATAATGTATTATGAATTTCAAGTGCGGTCGAGCTCGATTCAGGATTGATTTGGAAGAACAATTCTTGTTTTAGAAGTTAAAGTGAAAAGAGTTAAGTGGAGTTTGACTTTTGTGTAGACGACTCCGTAATGGTATTTTGACGATTTCAACAGCTTTGTATGGTGATTTTGGACTTAGGCGTGTGTCCGAATTTAGATTTGGAGGTCCGTAAGTTTATTTGATGCATTTTGGCGAAAATTAGAAAATTGAAGGTTTGGAAGGTTGAGAGGTTTGACTTGGAGTTGACTTTGTGGATATCGGGCCCAGATTGCGATTCTAAGAGTTGGAATAACTCCGTTGTTTCATTTGGGACTTGAATCCAAAATTTGAGGTTATTCCGGATTAATTTGTTATGATTTGGCGCGAGTTGTGGAAGTTGAAAGTTCATAAGTTCATAAAGTTTGGTTTGAGATGCGATTCATAGTTTGATGTTGTTTGATGTGAGTTGAGGCCTCGAGCAGGTCCGCATTATGTTATGAAACTTGTTGATATGTTCGAACGGGGTCCCGGGAGCCTCTGTGTATTTCGGATGGGCTACGGGCCATTTCATCATGCTTTAGAGTTGTTGGATTCTAGTGTGGCTGTTGCTCTTCGTTCGCGAAGTGATTCTGGGAGCTCCGTGTTTTTGTTCATCACGGTCGCGACTGTGTGCACGCAATCGCGAAGGTCCAGTTGGCTGTGGTCCGCATTTACAATGTGTCTTCCACGTTCGCGTGGAGATAGAGCTGGAAAGGGCATCAGGATTTGTTGTTCGCGTTTGCATGGGTTGCACCGCGTTCGCGAAGTGTGCTGCAGATGTGTGAGTCACGTTTGTGACTGAGATTACACGTTCGTGAAGAATTTTCGGCATCTTTTTTTTGCATCACGATCGCGAAGCAATTTCCGCGATCGAGTAAGAGAAATACCTCGGGAAAGTATTAGAACTCTACTTCGAGGGCTTTGATATTTTATCACGTTTTGAGTTAGAGAGCTCGAATTTGGGCGATTTTATAGTAAATTTTCATGTGTTGGACTGGGATAAGTATTCTTTATCCGGATTTGCTTATA